GCTCAAGGCTAGCGCTCTACCACTTGAGCCACAGCGCCACTTCTGGCTTTTTTCTTTTTGCTTATGTGGTGCTGAGGAATCGAACTCAGGGCCTCATGCATGCAAGGCAAGCGCTCTACCACTGAGCCACCTTCCCAGCCCAGAATCTCAGTGTGAAAGGTGGATGGGGTAGGGTGGAGATGGATGCTGGGGGACATACACATGGAACCCCCATCCCGCACCAGAATGTGAAGCAGCTCCTCCAGATAGCAGCGAATGACGCCTTCATCCTCATACAGAGCCCAGCTGCGTTGCTGCGCGTCATCTTTCCTCCGAGCCAGATCTGCAAAGATCACCTCCAGCCTCTGCTGGTCATGGCAGACCTGCCCAGAAGGCAGGGCCGTGCTCAGGTCCTGGGAAGAGAGAATAAGACACAGCTCAGGACACTTCCTGCCCATCAGCATTTTTTTGTTGGTCATGGGTCTTGAACTCTGGGCCTGGGCGCTGTCTCTCAGCTCTTCAGCCTAAAGCCAGCACTCTACCACTTGAGCCACAGCGCCACTTCCAGTTTTCTGAGTGGTTTATTGGAGATAAGAGTCTCTGGAATTTTCCTGGCCCAGCTGGCTTTGAACAGCAATCCTCAGATCAAAGCCTCCTGAGTAGCTAGGATGACAGGCGTGAACTATGAACTACCAGCATTTGGCTTTTAACCCTCCCCCGCATCCCATGCTGCCACCCTGGGTGGTTAACTAGAAACTCTCACGGACTTTCCTAGCTGGGCTGCTTTGAACTGTGAACTTCAGGTCTCAGCCTCCTGAGAGGCTAGAATGACAGGCGTGAGCCATCAGCACCATCAGCACCCAGCTTCAACTTGTCTGGATGACCTCCTAGGACATCTGGGGGTGGGGGCGGGGTTGAATTCTCAACTATTTGCTCTCGTCTCAGTCCTAGATGAGGGTACCGACTCAACTTCCTGAATGTGACTGAGACCCCATACTCCCAATTCCGCACAAAGTGGCACGGGGCCTGTTATAGACCCACCTCCCGCATTTTTCTTAAGCCTTGCTGAACAAGCATTGGCTAGCATGGCCAGTACAGGTATGCCATTGGTCTACCTCCCTCCACCTTCCAATCAGAACCCTCGTGGGAGCCCTAAGGAAACACCTCACGCAATTCCTGAACCCCGGTGAGGCCCTGCAGCCCTTAATCATAAGTTTCCCATAATGCATTTCTCTCTGCTGCTAAGGCCATAAAGGCATCGTGCTCATCCATACCCTGAGTCTATTTCATCTCTATAGTCAGTCTTCAGACTCGCCCTGTTTCCACATCCCCCCCCCCCGCATTCCAAACTACAGGAGGCTTAGGAGGCTTCTCTTACCCCTCCCTCACTTGCTACCACTGCCAAGTCTCAACTCCTATATAACCTGCTCCTGATGCTGCTGCTGCTTTTTGTTCTTGTGGGGCTTGAACTTGGGGTCCGGGCACTATCTCTGAGCTCTCTTTCCCCTAGGCCAGAGCTCTACCATTTTGAGCCACGGCTCCACTTTCAGTTTTCTGGTGGTTCATTGGAGATAAAAGAGTCTCAAGGACTTTTTCTTGCCCAGGTTGGCCTCGAACCATGATCCTCAAATCTCAGCCTCCTGAGTAGCCGGGATGACAGGCGTGAGACTCCTGATTCACTCTTTGTGTTTCAGCAATGGCAGGGTCCTTGAGCCGAGCTCTTCTCCTGCTTCCTGAGATGGGTCTAGGCTGTGCCTTTGCCTGGAACTCTTTCTCCCTCCCCCGCTTTTGTCAATCCTGGGGCTTGAACTCAGGGCCTTTGCACTATCCCCTGAGCTTCTTTTGCTCAAGGCTAGCACTCTACCACTTGAGCCACAGCACCCTTTCTGACTTTTTCTAGTTATATGATACGGAGGAATCGAACCCAGGACTTCCTGCATGCAAGGGAAGCTCTCTACCATTACATTCCCAGCCCCGCCCTTTCCCCTTCTTAGATGGGCTGAAATTTCTCCCCGGGTAGCCAGCACAGCGGAAGCCTAGAGTTTAGGGCTCAACAATTACCTGTCAGGCACAGGCTAGGTAGAGGTGTGGAGGCCGGGAGCCCGGCAGGGCTAGGGGTTCACCCTGAGGGTCAGGGAGGCTCTTGGCCCTTCCGTTCATTCTCCCTCACCTTTCCCTCTACCAGCGAGAGGAGAATCTGCTCCATGATGGGTGCGCTGGCTGGTACCGAGGCCTGGATGTGACCCACGACGACGCCGATGGCCACGCGACACAACTCGTGGCTCAGCCCGGTGTTTCTCCGCACCAGCTCCATCAGCTCTGCCCCAATGGTTCTGGGCACTGTGGTCTCCGCCACTGTCTTCTCCTCCGTGGTCCCCAAGTTCAGGGAGCTCAGGGCCTCCAGATCATCGGGAGCTGGGGTTGGATCGGCAGCCGCTTCCTGGGCAGGGGGTTCGGGGCTTGGAGGCTTCGGGGGCTGGGGTTGGGAAATAGTGGTGTGGGTACTCCGGAGAGGCACGGGGGGAGGTGTGGGCGAGCAGCTGGGGCCTAGCTCCGAGGGGCTAGAGCCGGTATACAGTGTGTCCAGGGAGGTACTGCTGACTGAGGAGCCACTGCATGTAGAACTGCCCACGGAGGGCCCAGCGTGGCGGCTGCCTGTGAGCAGAGAATAGAAGTTATGTTGGAATGGGCTCTGCTCCCCGCACCCTGCCACCCAGCCCCCCATCACCTTGTCACAGCACCAGTAACAAGGCCCCATCTTGTGCCAGGCCCTGTCTCCTCAATGAGCTCAGAGCCTCCTCCACTCCCAACATGGGACACAAGCCTGTCTTGAAAGCTCTCCTCTCCCCCAATCTGCCAGCAAGCAAGGATTCCAAGTCTAGGGAGCCTCACCTCCGTTTCCCTCAACCCCCTCTTACCACTCCCAGAGAGCACCAGGGCATCACGGTCTCGGCGCTTCACTGGGGGAGGTGGAGTGGTAGGCGCCGCTCGACGAGGCTGGGGTGGGATCTGGGGAGACAGAAGGGGTTTGGGGTCGGGCACTGGTGGCTCATGCATGTCATCCTAACTACTCAGGAGGCTGAGGGCTGAGGCTCTGCGGTTCAATGCTGCCTGGGCAGGAAAGTCCGTGAGACTTCATTTCCCATTAATCACACACACACACACACACACACACACACACACACACACATGCACGCACGCACGCACAAAACAAAAAGCCAGAAAGGAAGCTATGGCTCAAGTGGTACACGTAGAGTGCTAGCCTTGAATAAAAGCTGAAGAGTTCAGGGTCAGCACCCAGGCCCAGAGTTCAAGCCCTGCAACTGACAAAAAACAAAGGGGGGGAGGGGTTGAGAATGTGGCTTAGTGACAGAGTGCTCGCCTAGCATACACAAAGCCCTGGGTTCGATTCCTCAGTACCACATACACAGAAAAAGCTGGAAGTAGCGTTGTGGCTCAAGTGGTAGAGTGCTAACCTTGAGCAAAAGAAGCTCAGGGATAGTGCCCGGGCCAGGGGTTCAAGCCCCAGGACTGACAAAATAAAATAGGCAGGATCTTTGGGGACAGGCCACACTGTCTGAGGTGCTGAGCTTTGGGTATAGGCAGAGCTATGTCTCTGGCTGCATCACTAACTTGAGTAGACCATTGGGCCTCTGGATGAAGCCTTCAATCCCACCCACCTCCTCCCCACGTACCTGGTAGAGGCTTCCATCAGGCCCAAGATGCTCAGAACTAGGCAGGCTATGCTGCCGTTCAAACCCAGTTCGACACACTCCATTGGGTTGCCTAGCAACAGCAGCATCCAAATGATGGTCACTGGTGGATGGGGTCATAACAGCAGCGCTGGAGACGGAGGGGCCCCTTCGAGACAGGGTCTCCTTGCGGTGGTGGATCAGTTTCCTGATAGAGGGACAGGGACAGTATTAAGAGAGCACTTTCATCAGGTGCTCACGCCTGTCATCCTAGCTACTCAGGAGGCTGAGAGCTGAGGATCACGGTTTGAAGCCAGCGTGGGCAGGAAAGTCAGTAAGATTTTTATCTCCCATGAACAAGCAAAAAAAAAGTCAGAGAGTTGTGGCTCAAGTGGTAGAGAACTAGTCTTGAGCAAAAAGAGCTCAGGAGTAGTGCCCAGGCCCTGAGTTCAAGCCCCAGAACTGGCACATACACACACATACACACGAATTTAGAAGTGGATTATGGCTCAAGTGGTAAAGCACCAACTTTAAGTGAAAAAGCTAAAGGAAGCAAGGCGCTGGTGGCCCATGCCTGTAATTCTTGAACTCTGGGCCTGGGCGCTGTCCCTCCGCTCTTCCGCTCAAGGTGAGCGCTCTACCACTTATGCTACAGCGCCACTTCTGGTTTTCTGGTGGTTGTTTGGAGATAAGAGTTACACAGACTTTCCTGCCCAGGCTGGCTTTGAATCACAATCCTCAGATCTCAGCCTCCTGAGTAGTTAGGATGACAGGCGTGAGCTACCAGTGTCCAGCTCCATGCCTGTAATTCTATCTACTCAGAAGGCTGAAATCTGAGGATCGAGGTTCAAAGCCAGACCAGGTAGGAAAGTCCATGAGAATTTTTTTTTTTTTTTGCCAGTCTTGGGGCTGGAACTTAGAGCCAGAGCACTGTCTGAGCTTCTTTTGCTCAAGGCCAGCACTCTACCACTTGAGCCACAGTGCCACTTCTGGCTTTTTCTGTGTATGTGGTACTGAGGAATCGAACCGAGGGCTTCCTGAGTGCCAGGCACCTTCCCAGCTCCCATGAGACTCTGATCTCCAATGAACCACCAGAAAACTAGAAGTGGAGCTGTAGCTCAAGTGATAGAGCGCTAGCCTGGAACACAAGGAGGCTCAGGGACAGCACCCAGGCCCTGAGTTCAAGCCCCACAACTGACCAAAAAGGAAAAATTAAAAGTCCCAAAGTCATCCATCCCATGGCCTCTGCAGGATGCTGGGATCCTGTCCCCCCTCCCCTCCCCGTACTTCTCATTCTCATCTTCCCCAAGCTCCACCCCATTCTGGCACCCCAGTATTGCCACTACACATCTCTGGTCCCCACTGAAAAGACCTCACCCCACTATGCTCGCTGGCAGATGCCACTCACTGGAGGACTCCGCGCTGCTCCAGGCTGTATTTGCCACCATCCCGCATGGCTGTATTGTGTACAGCCTCAATGGCACGGTCAATGGCTTGGAGAATATCCTGTTCCACGCCCTGGGTGGGAAGGGGAAGAGAGCAGTGAGACCTGAGGACCAAGTAAGGGGTACTCAATCCAGGACGAGCTCAAGCTGGAGCCAGGCAGAGGACCACTAAGCTAAATCCAGGAATGCTGGAGAGGAGCACAGAGAGCCAAATTGGGAATAGCAGTTACAGAACGAGGGGCTGGGAAAGTGGCTTAGTGGTAGAGTGCTTGCCTAGCATGCCTGAAGCCCTGGGTTCGATTCCTCAGTACCACATAACGTGGAAAAAGCCGGAAGTGACGCTGTGGCTCAAGTAGTAGAGGGCTAGCCTTCAGCAAAAGAAGTTCAGGGATGGGGCTGGGAAGGTGGCTCAGTGGTAGAGTGGTAGAGTGCTCAATTCCTCAGCACCACATAAGCAGGAAAAGCTGGAAGTGGCTCAGGTGGTAGAGTGCTAGCCTTGAGCTGAAGAGCTGAGGGACAGCGCCCAGGTCCAGAGTTCAAGCCCCATGACC